CTCAGTCTATAACAAGACTCAGGTGAGGAGTGTTGGACCCTCCTCCCTCAGGGCCCAAGGCTGATGACTCCTTCTCCCAGGCTGGCCAGTCTCAGGGTCAGCAGGCCATGACATCTCTAACACTGGCTCTGTTTGCTGCTGGAGTGAAGTCTCATCCTCTGTCCCACTGTTTCTGCGGTGTCAGCTCCTGACAGCAGCTGCTGGCAGAGGCTCAGTGCTCCCTGTGCTGCACACTGCCCATGCTACACCATGCCAGCAGTGTCCTGGGTGCAAATGAAGTTATGGGTGTTAGCATTTTTAGTCCAAATAGCCCCCAAAGCAGGTGAGTTGAGAGGCTGTTTGCTTTCCCTCAGAGGGACAGGCAGTAGTGACTGCCTCTAACACCCAAGGGTCTCTGTCCCAAGCTCTTTTCCGTGGTCATTGCTCAGTGTGTAGCTTCCCAAGCAAAGCAGAAAGTGCTTTGACAAGCTGTGCTGTGCAGTGGGCTTTTGTCCAGCTCCTGTTTGTTCCTCTCTGCACCCTCAGCAGGGGAAATAAGTGTCTGGCTGCAATCCATGCTTACAGGTAGGAAGCCAGCTGTCAGCTCCATGCTTAGGGGTCAGGCTTTGGCCAGCAGGAGGAAAACATTACTGCAACTTCCTGTGTTTTTGTTGGGCTGCCCTAGATAGGTTGAGTAATTCTAGGCTGAGCCCACTCACTGGGGGAAGGATTGATTAGGCAGCTGCTGCAATCTCATGTCCCTCTGAATGGAAATAGGTCAGGGAAAAAAAACCCCACAATGTCTGTGAAAATAAAAATTTCAAGAGCCATTAGTGCACAAATATGGGTGAGAACAGGAGCTGAAACTCATCCTCTGGTGTGCTTGCAGGTATTCAGTGTGACTTGGCTTCCTCGTGGGGTAGGTGAAAGGTTCAGGTGATGTGTGTTTGGGCCACTCTTGTTCTGGTCTGGCTGGGTCTACTCACACCAGTCTCTGACACTGTGCCCATTGCCCCCTGTGCAGACGTTTGACAAGCAGGGATTCCATGCTGGCACCCCACCTCCCTTCAGCCTGCCTTCTGCTCTCGGATCCACTGGGCCCCTGAACCCTGGTGCTGCCCCAGGTTATTCAGCCCCGTTTCTCCATATCCTCCCTGCACATCAGCAGCCTCATTCCCAGATGCTGCATCACCACCTTCAGCAGGATGGGCAGGTGAGTCAGCCCCTTCTGCCTCTGCAGCATCCCCAAGAGCACATTGTTCCCGCTTCCCAGCAGGGTCTTGGGTGTTTGTTTCCTTCTGCTGCTTGCTTTGCTTACTGGGAAAGGGCCTTGGCAGCAGTGGCTGTTGACCAGCTTGGGGAGGGAAGCTGAAGTTCAGCAAGGGGAAATGCCACTTCTGTTCCTGGGGAGAAAACAGCCCTGTGCACCAATATAAGTCAGGAACCACCTGCTGGAAAGCAGCTCAGCAGAAAAGGCCCTGGGGGGCCTGCTGAGCACAAACTGACCATGATGCAGCAATGTGCCCTTCCAGCAAAAAAGGACAATGGGATCCTGAGCTGCACCAGGCTCAGCACTGCCAGCAGGTGAGGGGAACTGCTCCCTGCCCTCTGCTCAGCCCCGGCGAGGCCACAGCTGCAGCATCGCGTCCGGAGCTTGGCTCCCCACGCTGGGAGAGACATGGATGGCTGGAGAGTGTCCAGTGAAGGACTGATGGAGGGGCTGGATCCTGTCTCCTGTGAGGAAAGGCTGGGGGAGCTGGGACACTTCAGCCTGGAGAGCACTGAGGGGGGATCTCATCAATGTGCAGAAAAGGAAGATATAAAGAGGATGGAGCCAGGTTCTTTCCAGTGGTGTCCAGTGACAGGAACAGGGGGCACAAACTGAAACACAAGAGGTTCCCTCTGAATATCAGAGAAAATGTTTTTGCTGGAATGATGACCATACACTGCCCAGGAAGCTGGTGGAGTCTCCATCCTTGAAGTTGTCTGGGAATGATGCTGGGCAGCTGGCTCTTAGGTGATCCTGCTTGAGCAAAGGGGTTGGACAAGATACGAGAGATCCCTGCCAGCCTCAGCCAGGCTGTGATTGTGTGAAGAGCCCATCCTGCTGTGGTCTGGGGAGGTTTGTGGGGTGTGAAGCTGAGCAGGTGCTGCTGTCCCCTGTCAGGGGGGCAGGAGGGCAAGATGTGAGCACTTGTGCTGTGATTCTGGGGAAAAATCAAACATTCCCTGCAGGTTGCATGTCAGTTGTTTCACCTGCACATGTTTACTTTCCTAACACTAAATATTCTCTGAAAAAAACAGTGCTCAGCTTTAGAGTCCAGTAATAGGACATGATTTTGCGCTCCAAATGTCTCACATCCTTGTCTGGCTCACCTTGGGAAAGCTCCTTTGCTGTGCCTGGCCCTGCTCCTCACTTCCCTTGTGTTTGAGCCTGATGTGCTTGGGAGGCAGTGGGATGGTGCATCCCCAAACTCCTGCTTGATGTGCCCATGGTTGCTTGGCCTGGACTGGGGGATGTAGAGATGGTGCAGAGCAGAAACAGATCTGTTCAGGGGGGAGCATTGCTGCACTGGTGGGTGTCAGGGCTGTCCCTGGCGATGGTGGGGTGTGCTTGTATTCTTGGGAATGTTGGTGCTGGGGCAGCTGATGCTCCTGTCTCCTTTGTTTCCCTTTTCTAGGGTGGATCTGGCCAACGCAACCAACCCAGCACCATGCAGCAAAAGTCTCAGGCTACCAAAACCGCCTATGGCACTTCTCCATACTGGACAAACTAAACCTGAAACCGGGGAGGGGGGAGAGAATGAAAGGAGGAAGGAAAAAAAAAAAAAAAGAAAACAAAAGCAAAGGAAAGAGAAGAAAGAAAACAAAAGCTGAAGCCCATTCTTGGAATTATTAGGAAAAGTAACTGCTCAGCCAAACGTCTGTGCGGGGAGAACTGCAGCCAGCCAGCCATCCTCTGTGTGACTCGCCTGCTTCCTCTTTGAGTTGCTGTTATATGTAATATATTTATGTATGTATTTGTAAATGTAATAGAGCCTAAATGTGGTTTTCTGCATCTTGAAGCCTGTTTTATTTTCTTTGTAGGAAAACTAATTATTCATTTTCCATCTGCACCAGGGCATCATTCTTTGTTTTGTCATTTTAAGTTCTGTGGGTTTTGCAACTCTGTCAGACAAAGACAAATTGCACCCTTTTTTTTTTGGAGCTGGAGCCCATTTATTTAATGCAGTTCTAAATTCAGACAAATAAGGAGACCTGCCCTTCCAAAAACCTAAATCAAGATGTGTCCTGTTGGTTTGATTGTATCCCCCAACCCCCAATATAACTGTTATTTTAGAGGGGGAAAATAAAAGAAAGAAAATAAAAAAGCTCTGTGGGCCTTCCCCTTTCTTTCATTTCCTCCCTCCCACCCTCTTGCTGTGGAAGACAAGCTCTTGTGGGCAGTTTCATCGCTGTGGCCTTGAGCTGCAGTCTCAACTTTTAATTTTTCAATTTTTTAATAATAATAAAAAGGACAGGGTTTTGGTTTTTGTTTGTGCAAAGGTTTTTTGTTGGTGGCGTTTTTCTCTAGCAAGAGACTTTGGATGGCTCAGTGTGTCCTGGAACCTCCTTGGCATCATTAGAGGCAAAAACTATGTAGCGGTTTCTTAAATTAAAGTATAAGCTGTGTCTTGTACCTCTTTTTACCCTGAGCCACCTTCCCACGAAAGCCAGAGCTACTGGATGGAAACTTCATCTGTCCCTCCCCACTTTTTTTAAAACAAAAACCTTGGAGGCATCTCCTGGTCCTTCGTGTCCTGCACCAGTGCGGTGAATGTTCTAGGAGTTTCATTTCTTTACAGCCCTTCCTCCACCTAATAAAGATCTGATCATAACTGGTGTTCGTCTGCATTTTCAAAAGCTCCAGGAGTAGTTTTTCAAAGGCTCCAGGAGCAGTTTTACTTTTACAGCCTGTCCCTTTCCACCTGCTCCTGCAACAGCAGCCAAGCTGGGAGGGTAAGAGCAGCAGCTGGGTGTGACAGCAGTGAGTTCACCCGTGTGCCCAGAGCTCCCAGGCACCCACAGCAGGGATGGGAGCCGGGACCACACCCTCACTGCTGCCATGAGCCGCCTGTTCTGCCTTTGGTGTCTCCTGGCGTGGTGCTCCGAGTACCTGAGAGCACTGGGATTGGTAAGGACAGAGCACAGCTGCAGCTCTGCCCTCTCGCTTTGCTCACGAGGTCCATGGGCTCCACTGGGAGGAAGGGCAGGGGTGAGAGCTCCTGAGGGAAGGCTCCTGCCCCAGACTTACCCTTCTGATCACCCTGTCCCCGTGCAGCAGAGGAGGTGGGTAAATGCGAAGCACACAACAGGCAAGAGGCACTTATTCTTTCAGTATCCACAAGAAAAAAGAGGTCTGTTTCTACCCTGAGAACCATTTTTCTTTCTCTGTTACCAGCTCTTGCACCCTGTGAGACGCAGTTGTCACCTAGGCCTCCCCCAGCCTCTGAGCAGCACAAGAACTACCATGGCATTCCTCTGCCCTGGCTTAGGGTTTGACACTGGTTGAACTCCCAGCAGCTGCTCCAAGCCCTTTTCAGCTGCTGTTCCACTGCCAACAGCTTTGGAACCTGATTGTCAAGGAGAGCAAAAATGTTTCTGCAGGCTGGAGCCCATCAGTATGTACAAGACTGCACCAGCAGCTGAGCCCTCACAGCAGCAGCACCTCATTTACCCGCTTCAAAACACAGACTTCCCCAGAGCTGCCTTCACTCTCTTGAGGTCTTGTTTACAGACGTCCAGTGCTGCCCTGCAGGTGTAGCTCAGTTCTTGCGTGCCTGTCACAGTCCAGAAGCAGCTGAAGCTGGGGAAAGGCAACAGGGGAGAGGTGGTGCCAGCCCCCAGCAGCCCCTGAGGCTCAGGTCTCACACCTTCCCAGCTGCTCTGGGGTCCTGCCCACACAGCCACAGGCAGGCTCCTCTCCTATCTTTGTGAGACTCAACAAAATGTTTCTCCCTTCCCCTACATTGTCACTTTGGCAGGACTTGCCTGCAGCAATTTCACTCTCTAGGCCCTGTTCCACTGATGGCAGAGGCAAGGTTGCCCAGCTGCACTTGGCCACCAAGGAAAGACGGGGAAAACCCCCCTTTGCTGCACCCCAGACTTACCCAGGGCAGGGTGGGCTGGAGCCCTTGCCCTGCCTTTGGTCCCACACTGCTGCTGGAGGAAGCAGCTGCTGGCAGTTCTGGGCAGCCCAGTGCTGTGGGATCAGGCAGGAGATACAAGCAGGCCAGACCCCAGACAGCACCATCCCTCCCAGTCTCTTTCCCTAGATTAGAGACTGCTTTGGGAAGGCAGCTCCAAAATGCCATCGCCCTTCCTCCAGCTCAGCTGTGCGGCAGAAGCAGTTGGGCTCCAGCCACATTTGACTCAGCAGTTGCTGTGCTGCCATCGATACCAAGTGCAGCCAGTGCAACTCCCTAACACTTGTCCCACTAATTTTAGCTCGCCTGCAGCAGCCAGGGCACTGCAAACATCCTGCTCCCCTCCCGAGCCTGGAGGGAACAGCCCGGGACCGGCAGGGCTGGCACCCGGCAGGGCTGGCAGCCATGACCTCAATTTCTCTGCCAAAGCTGCTCCCTGACCCAGCGGTCAAACTCCTCCTTCCCCCCTGCCCAGCCCATTCAGGAGCACCGAGCTCCTGCCCTGCCAGGGCACTGGCCACCAGCAGCTCTGGCCCAAGTCCTGCATCCCTGCTCCAGTCACTTGAATCCATAACCACCTTCTCACTGGTCTCCCCCTTCCTACTTAGGAAGACTAAATATAACAGCATTTATTTGGCAAAAGGTCTGGCCTTTTGCCAAAGTCCTCTAATTCTGTTTGTTCTTTAGTCTTAGGTGCAGGCTGTCAAACAGCAGCATTATTTTGCAATAAACTTAGAGATATTGGTGTTTAAATATGTCCATGGATACCAGAGGAGCAATGAACTCATGAACAGCTGTTACTCAAAGCTTTGAGGAACCCATGCAATGCAACCAGCTCAAACGTGAAAGTAACAGCACAGAGATATTTTCATTTCACATTTTTATTAGTAGACAGATGTGCAGAAAAGACAAAATATAACTACTGAAGGAGAAGACAACACAAAAATGCATCAGTTAATTCTTTCCGGTAAATTATACTGAAGAAAAAAAGGAAAATATTTGGGAGTTCAGCTAAGAAAACTACTAAGAAATCTAGTGTACCCTGCTGGTTTCAGAATGGTTGAAAACTGCACTTGAAGGGACACGTAGCTGCAAATGTAAACGCTAATATTGACTGAAACAGGAGAAAAGGGGTTAAGAAAAACCCAGAATACACAGAGCAGGTAAACATTTTTCTGCAATCTCTTAAATAGTTTCAAAAAAATCCCCTCATACTTCAGTTGTATTTCAAAAAATGGAGACCAGCAAGTCAACAAGCAATGACACTGCACAGGACAGTGGGGAAGAGAAATTAGTCTGGTTAATGTTGGAGCTCTCAAAAGAGGTTGCTTTTTTTGTCATTAAAAAAGGGTAACAGAAGAGTCATAATAATGCATCTTACAACACCAAGCTTGGAAATACAAGTCACTGGAGAGTATACAGTGAAGACGGTCAAAAGTACAAGGGAAATCCTGAAAGATGCAGTATCCTCATTTCCAACCAAGCCATCAGCAAAGCCAGTGTTGCCACACTCTGCTTCTTCACCCCCCATAGCCGCCTGGAAGCTGGAGCTTGGTGCCCCTGCCCTGGCGTGGCCCCGAGCCCAGTTCCGCAGCCGGGAGCATCAGGGGCCCATTTGCCAACCCTGGCGCTGCCCTCGCAGGGCTGCTGTGAAGCTGGGGGTCCCCCACACTGTCACTAAACGCAGGGGAGCCCCGCTGCAGGCTCCAAAAAGCACCTGGGGCTAAGTCCTTGCTGGAAGAAGGCTGACACCTCAGGAGGGTGCAGCTGCCTTCCCAGGTAACATGCAAGCCGGAGGGCGGGCGGCCGAGGGAGCGCCGCTCGGGCAGAGGGATGCGCGGCCGGGGCAGGGACTGTGCCTGCAAACCCCAGCCAAATAACACTTTGGAAACAGATCTGCCTCGGAGCCCCGAGGGCCTTCCCTAATCTCCTCTCCTCTCATCTCCGTCGGGGCAGCGCACTCGGAGCTTTTGCTCAGTCCTGCCCCGGCACGCAGCCACGGAGCGGATCCACAACAAAGGCTGTTCCCACCGAAGCACCCCCGAGGGACCCGCAGCTGGGGACGTACCATGGAAAACCCTGAGACACACGGAGGGAGGCGCAGGCTCTGGTCAGGGCGATGCCTCTGTAGCTGTGGGGACCGAGGGTCCCGCCCAAGCAGTGCCAGCACCTCCGGTGAGCTCCCGGGGCTGCCAACCCAGGGATCACGCCCAAGGGGAACTGGGGGCACGCACCGCAGCCAAACACGAGCACGCTGCAACGGGGAGAGCCGAGAGCCTGAGGAAGAGGGGTCTGAGACAGGAACATGCAGGATCCCCCTGCCCGCGACGGAGCGCCCTGAGCTCTGCCAAGGGCTCCCCAAAACATGCGGGAGGCTGAGCTCGGGGCATCAGCTGAAGCACACTGCTGAAGAGCCTGTCAAAGCCTGCTGCTGGCCTCTGCGCGGGGCTGGCCCCGCTGTGCCCGGGAGCGGCAGCGGAGAGCCCAGCACGGACAGCCCGGACACCCCGCGGGCGCCGAAGCGAGCTCCGAACTCTGCCGGCCCCGCGGGCTCTTCTCTGAATTCCTCCGGGAAACGCATGCAAAGTACTTCTCTTAAAAAAAAATAAAAAAAAAAAAAAAAAAACAAACCAAAAAAACCAACCAACCAACCAACCAAAAAAAAACCACAAAACCACCAAAAAAACCCAAAAAACAAAACAAACTAAAATCTAGTCTTTGCTATCTCTTACCACTCAGCTGAAAAACTACAGTAAATAATTTGGCTCCATAAAAATGCAAGTGCTAGAGGAGAACAAACAGAATTCTCCTCTTTTAGGAGCTTTTCTGTGTGTAGTTGAAACCCCAATAACTTCAGCTTCCGTGTTTAGGCAGAGAATTAGAATGGAAGGCAATGCCTATGAGAGATGAGCAGAAATCCGGACATCATCACGGAGCTAGGATCTCACACTCTATCACTTGGATTGTCTTTTTTGAAATCATAAACCTTTTTATCTCCCATATAATTACCTTTTCTGTGTAGACAAACCTAGATTTAAGCAAGTGCATGTCAGGTGTTTTTAAGCTCAGCTGTGCAGAGCTGCACCTGCCCACAGGTGACCTACACAAGCAACAGAAGGCAGCTCCAGATGCACAGGGCTGGGGCTGCAGGGAGCAAGGGCTGCCAGCCAGCACGGGGCAGGAGGCTGCTGGTCTGTCCCACTGCCAAAAATAAGTCCAGCACAAACAGTGGCCCTCTGGGCAGCAGGATGCACATCTGCTCTCCTCCCTCCAGAGTGGCAGCTGGCAGCAGATCTCAGCAGAATGGCTAAACTGAACTTTTTCAACCCTATCCTAGTCTGGGGGGAAAAAAATAGAAAGAAAAAAAAAACTAAAAAAAAAAGAAATAGCAACCCAGGGCTCAGTTGTACAGATACGAAGTGTTAAGTGTTTATTTTAGGTTCATATCACAAGCCTTTTCCAGAGACAAAGCTGATTGTGCCCTCTAGGGCTCCAGGGGCCAGCTACTTCCTAACTTAGCAGGCTGAAAAGGAATACTGTACCTTTCAGTGACATCCCATCAAGCTCAACACACAGTAGCTTTACACTCTCCGCCCCACACCTTATAAAGGAAAAGCCACCACCACAAGGCTAAATCCACAACTTCTTTAGGTGTTGCATCATAAACTTGTTTGAAGTCGTCTTAAGTTGA